ATCACAGATACACTTCTAGAAACATAAAAATGTAATGTACAACTGATCATGTATGTTCAGATGCGGATATTCCTGTTCCTGTCTGAAACATGATGACATCCTTATACAGGAGACACACATGGACGGTTTCTGACATGTGACTAACGTAATACATGGTTTTGAAAGGAAAAGAAAGATGACCTTGACATTTGACAAGCACAAATAAAGGCTAAATATTCTTCCTTCATGCACCTAAAGAAGTTCATTAATTGTTTTCACCACAAGCATTGATTCTTCCTTCTGGTAATTCAAAACACCCCAGTTTATTATATTGCTTTTCAAGAACAAGCATTGCTTTTGTTCCATGGCATGACTTGATGCCTCACATTCAACATTAAATGAAAAAAGATATTCTGGAATTTCCTTAGCTGTCTTACTGCAATGTTTTGCAGAATGTTAAAGCACACAGGTGCTTTAACAATGAATCTGAATTTCCTTAAATATGCCATAAAAATACTTCTTGCCTCAGATTTACAAAAACTAGATGAAAATTTAATCTTTGATGTATTCTGGATTTTAAAACACAAAATCTGCCTTAAGAAAGACTGCAATGTTTGGTGCAATGTTAACATTTTGTAATCTGTATGGGTAATAATTGTTATAGACTGCAAGTGACAAGGCATGTTTTATGATGATATCGGCAAGAATGAAGACTTGTTAATAGATGTACAAACAAAGCTTGCTACTGCAGTACATCTCCATACAGTCTCAGAGCACAGAACATAACAGTGACATATCCTTGGAGAGTTCTTTGGTCATCAATCAATTAATCTGAGTTGAACAAATCATTCATATTGTAAAGTTATTAAGGCTGGCTAGCGATACATATCATAGAGATCGATAATCATAGAATAAACATTGATCAATTATCGTTAAATATCAGTGAAGTAACTTTGAGCTAAAATGACAAGAAGGTCTGAAAGAAATTAGGTTGATAGTTCGGCTTATCTACGGAACGTACCATTTGATGCTGATTTTAAGGGTTGAGTTGACCTCAGCTTATCTAGGACATCGGTTTATCTACGGTAATATATGGTAATATATTTCACGTCATTGGTAAGTGGTGACATGTTTGTGCGTGGATTACTAACAAAACAGCGTCTTGACCATAAGTTTGAAGTAGCAGAGGAATAAACACAAACTTTTTATTTTCTGTGAGTATATTAAAAATTCTTTCTATTACAAAAGTTAATGTATGATAATTATCAATAACACAATTTTCCTATCGATTATCATTAATAATTTTTCCTATCAATAATATTTCTGATTATCGATCATTTTAGCCAGCCTTAAAATGTTATTGTAAAATTCCCCCACAATGATGCAGCTAATGTAAAACCTGACCCATCACTTCCTCCTGCTCCCTAACATCCCTCCTTAAACTGACCCCCTCCCCTCACCACTGCATCTGTCTCTGCATAAGTAATAAGTAGGAAGTATGAGGTTAATATATAGTTACTTCACATCACTTTAAGTAATTGTGCCATTGTGAAAATATAAGTGTAGAAAAATCTAATTTGTGGGATATTTTTCACAATAAGTCCTACAATCCACAGAACTACTATTGCAGGATGTGTTTTTGATTTATAAACAATTTGCAGTCAAAACACCTGACAGGTTGCTGAATTGTAGCTCCTTATAATGTGAGAGGGATCCTTACGATCTGTCACCATATAACAGTGTATGTGTATCCCATACCATCTGTGTGCAACAGTTAACAGTATGATGTAAATAAACATGTCAGTAAGTTATCCTCAATAATGCTGATATCACTGTATGTCAAAGTATCAACTATACACCATTCAAATAAAATTTCTCTGCATTGAACTTGAGAATAATTCTATTTTCTTTTCAACAGTGGACATTTTTTTTTAATTAGAATTGATATTTACCTAACTTCCAACAACTGGTTAAATTTTCATGCCTCCGACAATGGAAGAATGTTATTACTCTAAGCATTTTTTTTAGAGTTCACATACGCCCAATTTCCAATAATGTAAGAGATTGTTTAACTCCTTCACTGGAATCAAGATGGATTTCAATTCCTATGATTTAGTTTCCCAGAAGAAAGAAGGAAATTATCACTCTTTCGAAAATGAAAGAGATTTCTATTCTCCTTTTTGGGAATCAAAATTGATCTGAATTCTTGTGATCACATTTCCCAGACAGCAGAAGAAATATGTCTGTCTGGATATCACATGAGGTATGGGTGTCTTCTGGGTTGTAGGGAGCAAGATATTCCTTGGTGACTTCTCCTAAGCATTATCTGTAAAAATAATAACAGATAGCAAAATTCATATCTCAGGCCCGGTAGTATAGTCAAAGTATAAAGTGTGGATGATCAAAGGATACTACACACTCCAAAATCTACTGAAATTTATGAAGAATAAGTGTATTCTTCACTTCACATTGATATTCTTATTTAGCATATAATTTGTTATGTGAAACAAAAACAAAAGTCAGGTCATCAATTGATCCAGAAACAGAAAACACATGAAAGAAATGTGCACATATGATTTTATATTGTTGTTACATACTGAGGCTAGAAAGGTTTAACTGAAACATGTCAGCCTGTAAATAGGTGAGTCTGCACCAGACAAACCAGTTGTTACTTTGCCCAACAGTATGATGAAATGCTTTAATCCAAATCATGCAGTAGTCAAGGGACCCGCTACCTGATTCCATCTAGGCACCTTTCAACACAAGTACATGTAATAGGTGTCTGGGATCATTTTAATCCTTAGACCACAAAGGTTTCTCTTCCTCACATATGATCTCACCTTCAGTGTAAGCAGTGTCAGACAGAACAAGCTGGAATATTTTTGGGTAGAGGTGTTCATGTTCCTTCCCTAGCATGTCCATGGCCATCCTTGCTCCGTCCTCCATGTTGCCATCTTCATCCTCCTGCAGCGCCTACACAGAAACACAGAGGTCATTGCCAACAAGTATTATGGACACACAGAGGTCATTGCCAACAAGTATTACGGACACACAGAGGTCATTGCCAACAAGTATTATGGACACACAGAGGTCATTGCCAACAAGTATTACAGACACACAGAGGTCATTGCCAACAAATTATGACAGATACTCTCTGTCCATTGCCAACAAGTATTACGGACATACAGAGGTCATTGCCAACAAGTATTACAGATACACAGGCGTCATTGCCAACAAGTTTTTACAGACACACAGATGTCATTGCCAACAAGTATTAGGGATACACAGAGGTCATTGCCAACAAGTATTACAGATACATTCTGTCCATTACCAACAAGTATTATGGACACACAGAGGTCATTGCCAACATGTATTACAGATACACTCTGTCCACTGCCAACTAGTATTACGGACACACAGAGGTCATTGCCAACAAAGTATGACAGATACTCTCTGTCCATTGCCAACAAGTATTACAGACATACAGAGGTCATTGCCAACAAGTATTACAGATACACAGGCGTCATTGCCAACAAGTATTACGGACACACTGAGGTCATTGCCAACAAGTATTACAGACACACAGAGGTCATTGCCAACATGTATTACAGATACTCACTGTCCATTGCCAACAAGTATTATGGACACACAGAGGTCATTGCCAATAATTATTACAGATACACAGAGGTCATTGAGAAACAGAGGTCATTGTTAACAAGTATTACAGATGCACAGAGGTCATAGCTAACAAGTATTACAGACACACAGAGGTCATTGCCAACAAGTATTATGGACACACAGAGGTCATTGCTAACAAGTATTACAGATACACAGAGGTCATAGCTAACAAGTATTACAGACACACAGAGGTCATTGCTAACAAAGTATTACAGATGCACAGAGGTCATTGCCAACAAGTATTATGGACACACAGAGGTCATTGCTAACAAGTATTATGGACACACAGAGGTCATTGCTAACAAGTATTATGGACACACAGAGGTCATTGCTAACAAGTATTATGGACACACAGAGGTCATTGCCAACAAGTATTATGGACACACAGAGGTCATTGCCAACAAGTATTATGGACACACAGAGGTCATTGCCAACAAGTATTATGGACACACAGAGGTCATTGCCAACAAGTATTATGGACACACAGAGGTCATTGCCAACAAGTATTATGGACACACAGAGGTCATTGCCAACAAGTATTATGGACACACAGAGGTCATTGCCAAGAAGTATTACAGACACACAGAGGTCATTGTCAAGAAGTATTACAGACACACAGAGGTCATTGCCAACAAGTATTACAGACACACAGAGGTCATTGCCAACAAGTATTACAGACACACAGAGGTCATTGCCAACAAGTATTACAGACACACAGAGGTCATTGCCAACGAAGTATTACAGACACACAGAGGTCATTGCCAACAAGTATTACAGACACACAGAGGTCATTGCCAACAAGTATTACAGACACACAGAGGTCATTGTCTAGACGTATTACAGACACACAGAGGTCATTGCCAAGAAGCATGATACAGGCACACACTGGCCATTCCTAAGAAGAATCACACCCAGACATATTGTTCACTATCAAACAGCATAATGACACAAATGACAACAACAAGAGTGACTGTCAATAACCAGAATTATAATGGTCACTATCAAGAGGATACAGAAACAGTTTATTACAATGCACAGATGCACTGGCAAGTATCAAGAAGCATAACAATGGAAACACTGATGTTATTTGAAAAAATAATGAATCCACTTGCACTTAGTGCTACGTCTGTTGTAAACCTACTTTACAGTATTGACTGTCGTAGCACTATGATCCCTTTGTGCAAGTGGGCCTTGGTCAATATCTCTAACTAGGGCATTCAAACAGCAAGTGATGTATCCAATCCCTAAGAGACGCATAAAGAAATAATCAGTCAGGTTCTTTTCAACTAGATTAAGACCATCTTCCAATGTGACACAGTGCAGGTCCATCGCCTTCAGTAAGGTTATACCTGAACAGCCTTGTAGACATCGATGAGCTTGTCTCCAAGAGCTGCCTCCAGCTCCGCTCGCTGCTGCTCGAGACGACTGAACAGGTCATCATCGTCATCATCATCATCCCCAAACTGCGTCTCTCCATCACTGTCATCTGGTAGTGAAAGGGTTTCAGCATATAGATTAATGGTGACTTTTTACACATAACATAACATTTCACAATCTCTTGATTCCAGTGAGCTAAAACTTCAATATATTAGCACTACGACCCAATCTTTTAATTGTTCCTACATACATTTCATCTCAATCGATTCTTAGAATACTGAGAATCCATTTCAAGTCTGAGTGTAATTTACTTTCTGGTTTGTTTGTTTTTTGTCTATAAAAGCACTGTGTATGCAATTGTTTATTATGGAATCCTGTATAAACAGGTGATTGATATCACGAACATCTCCCTATCGGGTACATTGTAGTGTTGGGAATTGGTCAAAATCTCATAATTGATGATTGGTTCATTACTACCGATCAATCATCGAAAATAATTGGTTAGCGTCATTTATGAAATTTTTAATGCACACAAAAAATACGGAAAAAAACGTAGTTATTTTGGGGGCTTTGGCAAAATTTCACATCTCTAAAGGATGACTAGTATGTTAGGAACATAACTATCTTGGTGTCTTTAAGATAATCTCAATCATGACTTGGAACGAGCTTATAATGCTTATGAAATGTAACAGACAAAACCAACCTTGTGAAAAATATTGTTGATGAAAACAAGTGTTCCAGAATTATTTGTGTTCGATTATGAGAAAACGTGATCGATTGCTTGGTCGTTTAGTCACTGCTACCAATCTTCGATTATTTCAATTAATCGGATCACCACTAGTACACTGGCATGCAATCAACAAATTTACCTAGCCTGACTACCCTGTCCATAAGCTGCCTTGTTGCACCAGGCCAGGTTGAACCCAGAGTTGGCTGGTAAATAGTATATGGCATGATAATATTGCAGTGCTTTATCCCAATAACGGTTATGCAGAGTTAAATACACCATTGTAAAGAACATTCAACATTAACTTTATAGAACCACTCCTGAAAGTTATAGGTCTCAATCAGCCCTATTTCCTACCAAAGAGATCTGATGTAGAGATTCGGTCATCATCGTCATCATCATCGCCGTCAATAAGTCGTTTCAGTTCTTCTTCATCATTGTCATCCTCATTGTCATCCTCATATTTATTTTCATCCTCCTCTTCTTTTTTCTCTCCCTCTGCCCCCTTCCCCTCTTCATCTCCCCCCTTCCCCTCATCATCTCCACCCTGGCCGTCAGCCCCTTTCTCTCCATCAGGTTGTTCTCCTGCATCTTCAGTGGACAGACTGAACTGGATCTTATTGGATCCCCCACCTGGAAGCAACATCACAAAACAAATAAACCACGAAATATCTCTAAAACAAAAACATTATTTGGCCTCCCTGAGTTTACTCTGTAAGAACAGAGACCATTTAAAAAATAATAATTATTATATGGTCTCTGGTAAGAATACTCTAAAGTATGTGGCAAACAATGTGAACAAGAGACCTGTGAAGATCCGGGTTAGAATTCATCTTCAGCAACCCATGCATGTCATAAGAGGTGACCGCCGTTGAAACAGGTAGCGTTGGTCAGGCTCATTGACATGTGTTAATCAACAACCAATCAACCGTGTGACCAAGCAACTTTTCATTATGCTCTCATGTTCTCGCTGGACGTTAACAATAAATAATGACTGGTGCATCCGTTCACTAAAAGCATATGCTAACATGTGTTACGATTATAATGAGTGTGGATGATGGAAGGGGAATTGACTTATATATGTATGTTGCCTGGTATCATCATGACTTCAGTGGAAGCTTAGGAATGGAAGGTATCGACTAACAGGCATAAGTGTACAAGTGTCGTAATTAAAATGAGTGTTGGCTCAAATTTTGTTTGGTTGAAATGAATGAATACAAATGGGAAGACTTATAATGATGAATTTGGTATCAGTGTTGGTGTTGTTGTGTCACGCCACAACCAGCAATATTCCAGCTATATGGCAGTAGTCTGTAAGTAATCAAGTGTGGAGCAGACAACCCAGTGATCAACAGCATGAGCATCGATCCGTATAATGGGAAACGATGACACATGTCAACCAAATCAGCGAGTCTGGCTATCCAATCCTGTTAGTCACCTCTTACGACAAGCGTAGGTTACTGAAGACCAATTCGGACCTGACATCCACATCAATTTGATATCTTTCACTAAACACTGCCAATGAGCTGCAATAAACAGCACACATACAGATACTAATGTCTTAATTCTTAAACGCCCCATAATGGCTTACTGTCATCATCAATGAGGAGGCTTTGCATTGTAGCTCGGACACTCATTAGGTCATCATCATCATAATCTTCATCGTCATCATCATCATCATCATCATCATCTTCCTCCTCAACATTGTCTTCATTCTTGTTCCTACAATCAAAATTGAAAGAAGAATGTCAACAGCATTTCAGCTCCATTGTCAGTGATATATGTTTTTGATGATTACCACTTTGGTGAAATTCACAAGCACAGGTTTGTCATAACTTAACTCTCACATATAGCATCTGATGCTACTTTCTATTGATGCCATGGCTAAGGTCGTTCACACAAAGTTTCAGATTAATAGTACTTTCACAGATGTCAATATTGCAGACACACTAGAAAATGAGGCAACGGCAAATAAGATATTTTTAAAAAAGGCAACATTTGCAACAATTGACATCTAACTGAAAATCTATCATACTTTTTAAGAGACACCACAGCTGGGATCATCACACAAAGTGGCTTGCAGTACCTGATGAAATGTGGCATTTGCAGTAGCTTACAACAGACAGAATGAATGACTGACAACAGGCCAAAACATCAGCTCACTTGTTTTTCAGTTTTCTAAAACTGCATTGATTGAATGTGAACATCAACAAACATATGCTTATAATAAACATATGAAAGATGGTTTTATTCTTTAGTTTACGGATATATTTGGAAACTCTTTTGGTGAGGTCGTGGAAAATAATAATTAAATCCTTGACTATTTTGGTGTTCTTCAAAAGATAACTATGTTGTGATTTGTGCAGTATAAGTGAAAGCTTGTCTTGTTATTAAACCAGCTGCAGCCTGGTGTCTTGTAATAATGTGCATTTAATACCAAATCATTTTGCACTCAAACAACACCTTTTCATATTCAGTAGGATAATAAAACAAAATAGCTTTCATAGTTTTTGTACCTATTCAGTACACAGTCAAATATGTAAACAATACACATCAACATAACAGAATAAGACGTTTTGATTCCCTGACAAAAATTATTGGGTTGAAAAGACAAAATTGTCATAAAAATGATATTAATGGATCATTGAACATCAGTGATAAGACCAGCGGTGGTCTACCAGAATCTTCCAACACTCACAGATAAAAGTATAGGTTTGTTGTATGACACGATTAACCCATCACTGCAATATATCTACATTACATCACATACACAGCCCACATTTTGACATTGTTTGTGGGACCATCCAGAGAATGGATCATGGGCATAATGGTTTTCTACATGAACTAGTGTAGTCGAAACGGATGTGGTCCTAGATATAGATCCTGTGCTGATGGAAGAAAAATTCTTGGTGTTGATTGGTAGTGGACGTACATTAAGACCCTATTGCACCTGTTTGCCTTCCATGTTTTACTACCTTTAGATGGTAAGTCAGCTTTTATTATGTTTTAATCACTTTTAGATAGATAGATAGATAGATAGATAGATAGATAGATAGATAGATAGATAGATAGATGATAATACTTTATTACTCATGAGGGAATTTTGTGTTTTATAGTAATCACTTATTACATAGTTATACCCATGAAGATCCGGGATAGAACTGGTCTATAGCAACCCATGCTAGTTTGGTACAAACTGAGTTATTCACACATCACTGCCATATAGCTAGAATATTGCCGCGTGAGGCAACAAACAAACAAAACAAACAAATATTACATGCTTAATGTATGCTATAACAACAAAACAAAACATCTTGTTGTTAGTATACAGGTCTCATAGCAAATTTCCGTTATAAAACAATCCAAGTTTTATACAGATTTATTCAAAACAGTGTGACCAAATGTTCACTGAACGGGTCCAATTACACTCATTCACCTATTTAGGACATTTTTCAGAGAAATTATTATTAGAAAATAATATCAACAAATCATACTGATATGGAACTTATTATTTGGAAAGTTTACAATCCAAAGAATTTCAAGGAGTCTGTGATACAATCTCAAGAACCAATAAATTTGCCTTTGCGTGGTTTTTCAGAAGAGACACATTCACGGGAAAATTTATGGGTTTCAACTTGTGTAATATGGGGAACATGAAGTTCTGGAGTATGTTCGTGCATGTCGTGTTCCTAATATTACACAAGTGACATCCATAAACGTATTCATCACTTGTGTTCACTGTGTTAAATGGGACGGAAGGCAAGACGTTAACTGTATCCAACAGGATGCTGGTCATAGATATAGTCTGTTTGCAGTGAAAGCGTGACCGATGAATTTCACTTTATACATAAAAGTAAATCAAATAAAGTGAAATTAAGATTGCGAATCCTCATAATTTTACCTTGCCAACTGAACATGTAAATGTCAGAATTTTTTCAACTTACGATAAAAGTTGTTTAACAAGCGATCATAGTTTCATTAAATGAAACACCGAGAACAAGTAGGGTTGATCTAAGTTAACGCTCATCACATACCGCACATGCATTTGTTTCACTGTTCCAACTACTGCGCTTACCCCTTGTAATACAAACCAATAATAATGATTTGAATCTATGATCGTTTGTTAAACAACTTTTATCGTAAGTTGAGTAAAATTTTGAGATTTAAATGTATAATTGGCAAGGTAATATTATGACGATTCGCAATCTTAATTTCACTTTATTTGATTAACTTTTTGGTTTAAAGTGAAATTCATCGGTATGTTTTCACTGCAAACAGACTATAGATTTTACAGTACATACAGCCGAGGTTAAATATCAGCCTCTGAAAACACTCATAATGCAACACTACATTGGAAGCAGTTTCTTTCCATAATGCCTACAGGAAAACCTTTTTTTTTTTTTTTTAGCACTTTATTGCATTTTTGTAGGCATCTCAACATGTACCACATACATTTTCAACATAGCATACATTGTAGATCCAGACAATTTCTGTTTTATGGCATATATTTCAATATGGCAGAGTATGACAAAAAGGAATTATGTAAAAAGGCTGTGGCATGAAGACCAGAAGGAGATGAATGTTTCATATCTACAATCTGTGTAGAGAAGCTGGTTACTGATGTTACAGGACCCTTGTAAAACAAATTTAAGGCCATTTCAATGCAGCTTTTTTCTGACATTTGCATGTATATATGTAATGTTTGGTAACAATAATAATCAAGTTTAGTACATTTCTTTTTTCTTTGTAACCAAATATAATGTGTGTTACATTTGGTTCTAAATTGATTCCAGTTTATATTTAATCCATTCCAACAAGAGTTACCACAAGCTTTTTACATGTACACAGACAAATAGAAGATGTAATAGTTTCATTTATATCGTTACAAAATGTACATAAAGGAAAATCTTGCAACACTACATTGAAAGTAGTTCCTTTCCATAATGCCCATAGCAAAACTGATATTTGGAAAAATCACTACATTATATTATCCTAGGGTAGTAAACGTATATTGAGTTTCTGACAAAACAAACCCCCGACCGCGTCATACCAAAAGACGTTAAAATATGGTACTTGTTGGTCCCTGTCTGGCACTCGGCATTAATGGGTACAACAAGGACTGGTCGGCTCAGAGTCAGTATAATGTGTCTGAGAGGGGTATTCATGCTTCACTGCGGCATGGTATCTCAGTGGGCTAGCACTATAAAACCAGCTTAAGTCTGGGCTAGGACAAGCAGCTGCGAAATATTCTCAAGTACGACATTTAACCAAATTGCACCTCACCTCTGACAAAACACTGGACAGATGCCATTTTAAACAATGGATAATGATTGATGTAAATAACACAAAAAATGGTAAATATAAAACAGGGCAATGGCCTAGCTGATCCCAAACCTAAACAATTTACGTGTATAATCACTGTGCGAACAGTAGTGTTCGGGTTTTAGATGCATTAGTGACATTTTCATAACAAAGATAGGTCTCATGAGATCAAATTAGTGTCATATGGGTGACAGGACCTACTGTTTATATACACAACATGGATGGCATACTGGTGTCAGATCAATGCCATCTACTTGTACGTGGTGTCGTTTAATTTAAGTGCTGTGTGTGTGTCTTTATATGTGTGTTGTGTGTATTCCTCTCTCGGTAATGCTGTCATTTGCAAAAAAAATACATTAAAAAAATACATTATATATTAACTGTAAAATGGGCCATAAGGCTGCATATTACTGAATAAAGTGTCTGTCTATCTGTCTTTCATTTGCAACCACTCTATCATGCAAAATTCATCTAGTCTATACTTGCTTGATAACTGTTAAAACCTACACCAAAAGGTTGCTTTCACTTTGATAAAGAAGTTGTTCATCAATATTTGATATCTTTCCATACTGCTCCAACTTCTAAATGCCCCTCAGAGACGTTAGTCAATACACACCATTTTGATTTTGAAGTTGGTTTTGAAACAGAATTCTAGTTAAATCATGACAAGTCAGCTCCACATTGAGATGAGCTCCATATTTCGATGTTTACCACATTGAGGAGACCAGTGAGCACAGATGTGATATTTACCAACCTAGGAACTTAATCTGGCTAAAACGGGTTAAAAATGGTACTTGGAGAAAAAAAGTGGAAAAATTGACAATCACTGACTGACTTTACCAACCTAGGAACTTAATCTGGCTGAAACGGGTTAAAAATGGTAAATGGAGAAAAAGGTGGACAAATTGATAATCACTGACTGACCCACTAACTGGTTCCTTTACTTTGGAAAAAATCATATTTTGTATTGCATGTACTACAGATTTACAGACTGAGTATTTGAAATTAAGCATTAAAATCTTAGGGTCCTTGACATGATTTTAAAAGTTAAAGATTTATGATGCTTCCTGGAGGTCTTTCGCCCAATTCTATATTGTGTTGTTCAATAATGTTTTTATATTTGGAAATGATCCCAAACTAGTTTTAGATATAATCTCTGATAATCCAGTTGTTACACTGTCCTTTGATGACAGCTTTTTATAAAGTACACAAATATTTATTCTTAATGAATGCTTATCTGTCATCACAATTGTGATGTACAATTTTAACTCACTCACTCATTATCCTCCACAGCTTTTAAAGTCAGATCAATGTTTCCACTGAAACTCATATTCCATGAAAAATACAAAAGCAGGATTAAAAATGTTAATGTTCTAGTGTTCTCCAATCTTCTCACAAAATAATATTTCAACTTGCATCAATTTTCCGAAGTAGAGTTTTTGCAGGCCTCTGATATTGATTATAAGCCCTGACTACAACATCAATCATTATAAACTTTCTACAGCAGACAGACCACAGCAATATTATTTCTCTTTTAATCCATATAACCTCAATAATAACCTCCAGTTATTTCAAATTTATTTTCTAAAACATAAACTTTTGAGTGACCATGATGAATGATCAATAAAGATGCTCCATTTTACTACAGCGTTATTGATTGATGCCTACCCTTGTAAAGGACATGCTATTTCATTGGCTAAACGAACAGCGTACCCAAGTGACAAGATTAGATCACTTTGTGTCTGGAGTTAATGAGATGACTACTGCAGCAAATGCCAACAGACCTTCAACTTGATCACACCTGGATATCCTGGTGAGGTAAGTACATAAGCTTCTTAAGTGTTAAAGAGTCTAGGTAAATGATATACTTACCTGCAGTGAAATAGAAGTAGTCAAAGATGTGTCTAAAAAATGTCTACCTATTACAAACAGTAAATGCAGAAATAGGTGGAAAAAATGCCAATCACTGACTAACCCACTCACTGGTTTCTGTACTTTTGAAAAAAATATTTTTTAATTCTTTTAGATGTTTTATTTTGTATTGCATGGTCTACAGATTTACAGATATTTTAAATTAAGCATTAACATCTACGGGTCCTTGTCATGACATGATTTTAAAAGTTAAAGATTTACGATGCTCTTCATTTAAATACTACACCAGCAAATCATAATGACCCAAACATACCGATTAATTTTGAACACAGTGCAAAATGAGAATTCCTGCTTAGATCATATTTTATTACTGACATGCCTGCACAGCATGTCAGTGACAAGATTAGATCACTCTGATCTCGATGAGTTGATGAGAATACAAATACCAACTTTTAACTGTATCACCAAGGGATGTTTTGGTGAGGTAAGGATATCAGCTTCTTCAATGTGAGAAGGATATTCTTTTTAGTGTCATGCGTGTCAAACATTTGTTTCTTATATAAATGACTGTCTATATGGAAGGTAACCTCATGTAGAAATTGCACAAAGATAGTAGAGGTAAGTCATTCAAATATTACTATCAATATGTTTATACGGGGTGCGCATTATTTATTTACAACCTGCACAGTTGCATGTTAAAAATGACTGGTGCAGGTTACCTTTAGTAACAAGTAGCACCCGGTGCAGGTAACAATAAATCCTCCAACATCTGATAGTTGTCATCGTGTGCTTTAATTGGGAAGTAAGTGACTGTAAGTAATATGTTTCTCTCCATGTGACTTGTTACAAGCAGCAACACTTGTGTACTTCAGAAATCAGGAACGTCAGGGAAAGAAATCTTTCAAAATTTCCCACTTGACCACAGGACCAGTGAGTGGACAATAATTTGTGGTCTGTCTGTACTTCAATGGTCCAAAATGATATTCGTAGATTTAATTGTCAATACAAAATTCCCTGGCTACCAGGACCACTGCAAACTTATCATTTAGTGGTCCTGGTGAATTTTTACTAGCCAGGCACCACTGGACCAGCGTAAATTTCACACACAGGCAGTAACCATATAATTTAGATCTATAACGAGTGAGTGAGTTTAGTTTTACGCCGCACTCGGGAATATTCCAGCTATATGGTAAATAATCGAGTCTGGACCAGACCATCCAGTGATCAACAACATGAGCATCGATATGCGCAATTGGGAATCGATGACATATGTCAACCAAGTCAGCGAGCCTGACCACCCAATCCCGTTAGTCGCCTCTTACGACAAGCATGGATTACTGAAGGCACATTCTAACCAGGACCTTCACAGGTAATTTAGATTTATAAATAAAGGTAATGCAAAATTGAAACAGAATCATTCATCATTTATCGTCATGGGGTCAGGTTCTGTTGAAAGTATCTGATACTGAGGACTTGTTATGAAAATTTCTAAACAAATATATATGTTACCAGTGACATTTTCCTATGGTACAACCAAAAGTTTGATGATGCAGTCAAACTTATAAGCCAGGATGCACTCGGTGCAGATACTGAATAAACGAAATCAAACCCTGTTATATAGAACAAATGCCAGATACCAGAGCTTTGCAGAAAGGTGACCATATCTTGCCCGACTGATGGCATCCATAACAAACATGTGCAAAGACAGAATTGTGCCTATAATGAAAAACAAATCAACATATGGTACAAATATAATAGCGAATTTGAACACTTCAGTCACTGAACATTGTTACAGTCCTCCACATGTTGACATATAACATTTTGAAAACTTAATATATGGTGTATTTGAAAGGAGTAATACTGATCTAACATTATTAGAAAAAGAGTCATACAAAGCCCTTTGAAACCTTTCAAAAAAGGGCATACTCAGTTGTAGAACCAATAAAGTTGTGAAATGTAGATACCAAAGGTTTGAGCTACTTGAATATTGCTAGACAAAGGGACATTTGATCTGTGGAATATTGAAGTCCTCCCCCTTGACATACGACCTTGTTAACCCTTATCCCACCAAGCTTTCTTCATATCCATTACCGCCAAGTGGGCCTGTGAGGCCCGGTCACTCCTTTTGATTTATGTAAAAGGACCTGACAGGATATTACGTTCTTCTGCACTAATAGAACAGTCACTACTGTCACTAACACTTTCTTCAAAGAGAGGTTCGAACTCATAATCTGATCCACTGTCAGAGGGTACTGCATCAGCACCACTACCATCATCATCTGCAGCAGCAGGTTTGAGCAAAACGTCGCGAAAATTGCCTCTCAAACTTCCTTAAGTGGCATTTAGAAGCTGGTATGATGAAGAGGAACACTTTGTATGGATAGACAACTTCTTTATTGCAGTGGAGGCGACGTTTCGGTGTAGATCCTAGCACCGTTATCTAGCAAATGATACACAGCATCTGCACAAGGAGAAATATATACATTTGGGTTTATACAATAGAAGAGGTTGATGTGTGTTGACATGAGGCTTGTTGTGAAATGATTGAGGCCAGTAGACAAAGGGTGGGTTATTCTTGATTAGTTGATCGTAAGCTGTAGGGATGTAATAACGTTGATCTCTGTTGATTGTCGGGTTGAGCCGTTTGATGTTGATTGCCTCTAAGAGTTCTCTTATCCCTTGGCCTACCTATGGGATCACATCTCTCCCCCATCATCAGCGAGATCTACATGACAGAACTCGAAGACAAGGCCCTCCTCACCTCACCCTTCACACCAATATGCTGTTTCCGGAAAGAAGACGACACAGAAGGACCCCACCACCTTGCTTCAACGAGACCACAAAACCCTCATGTAAGAACTTAGGGACAGAACGAGATAGGTTCGACTCTACACAAGCAGCTCACAGTTCCCTATCATAGACCACTCTACGCCCGAGCCACCATCAAGGTCCACAAAGACCCCATCAAAGCCCATCTCCTAGTCTGTTCCAGAAACACAGTCCATTACAATACCAGCAAGCATCTCGACCATCTTCTCGCCCCTCTAGGTAAATTAGGTAAATCCTTTATCTCAGACTCCAACGAATTCTGCAACAAGATCAGCACCATCGCCCAGCCAGGCAAAATAATGAGTTATGATGTGGTTGATCTATTCACCAATGTACCAAGAGACGAAGCCCTAGCCATCATTAGAAGAAAAGTTGAAGGCATCCGCGCTAAACCTAAACACCCATCTCACAGTAGAAAGCACCATCCGCCTCATCCATTCCTGTATAAGTTCAACATACTTCACCCGGCCTGATAAAATCTACCAACAAACCCATGGTCTACCTAGGGGGATCATCTCTCTCTCCCATCATCACCGAGATCTACATGACAGTACCCGAACACAAGACCCTCCTCACCTTACCCGTTACACCAATATGCTGGTTCCGGAAAGAAGACGACACTTTTGTCATAATCAACCCCCCGATGATCCCATCTGCCTTCTCAAACACCTTAATGCCCAGCATCCACGCATGAAATTCGACGTCCAAGTAGAAAAAGACAACAACAAACTCCAAACAAGTGTCTACAGGAAACCAACTCGCACAGACCAATATCTTCACTTCTCATCTAATCACCCACTGCAAGTCAAGAGAGGTATAATCGCCACCCTAACCAGAAGAGCAAAGAACATCAGCTCCACAACCCAAGGCCTTGAAGTCGAGTTAGAACACCTTCGCCATGTCTTCATAAACCTTGTTCAGTACCCAGCTACTCTAGGAGAACCATCAAGACCACCTAAACCCAAAAGACAAACCACCACGTCAACAATCATCCCCGTTCATCACCAGTATACCATATGTCGATACAACCAGCCACCATATCCGCAGATTACTAAAGAAGCAAGCCAACATAGATGTTGTGTTCCAAAGAGGAACATCAATTCAGCATATCCTACAAGGATCTACACAGAAACGTCGCATCCACTGCAGTGAAGAATTTGTCTATTCATAAAAAGTGTTCGACTTCTCAAACTTGCTCGACGATTCATCTTTGACTGGCAGTTACTATGCAATGTATTCATAAGGAAGCTTTATCAAGTGGTGTTGACTGGAAGCTGAGGGGGGTGACCGGGCCTCAGAGGCCCGGCAAAGCAGTTAATGCAATAATATTTGCTTTTTAAAATTAATGGTAATTATTTCAAAATAATTAAATTGAAACTTTTTTACAGCAATCAGTATTGTAATTTTCAGGAATACATTGAATACTGAACATTTATATAAAGAAATGAAGTTTTGGCATACTATCATAGAGCACTTCGGCCCTCAAATGACCCACTTGGTGGGATAAGTGTTAAAATGATTTGGACACATTATATGCAAAGATCTATATATGAGCCAGACGACATGATTTCACCGGCCTCTTTTATTTCCAGTTCAAGTGGACAAATCAGTGTGATTGTTATTGAACCATACACATTATTGATATACCTGAAGCTCAAGTTAAACATCTTGGACAAATTGTCTTGTTTGAGTTTGCTGAAACTCTGCCTTGTATGCATACAGAAATAGCGTCAGCAAGAACAGGTGTAAAATCGCTGCATATTGATATCGATATTTTGACAAAATGTCATGCCTCCACATGTTTGATTAGTGTTATCCAACAAGGAGGCCTAGTATATGAATGTTGTTTTCCCAGTAAACAATTGCTTTCATTTTTGACAAATTTTCATGAACCTTTGAAGATAGAGATGTAACATTCAATCAAAGGTCATCACATTTTGTAATGAATCCCCATGGACCAAGGAAAGATGTTTTGCCTCAAGTCTATTGGGTGAAATTGTGATTGTTGCAAAAATAAAATAAAATGTTTGGACATAACTGAACATGGTTCATTTCTGAGCTTGTAAATAATCAAGCAAATACTCATGTTGGTGACAATCCACATGGCAGTAATTTAACACTTTCTTGGAACAAAAAGAATTCTTAAAAAATGCCTAACAAGTTAGTATCAGGTCCGATATTTTGCATATCCAAGTTTCAGTAATGAGTTAGCCTTGTGGTTAACATGTTCGCTCGTCACGCCGAAGATCTAGGTTTGATTCCCCACATGGGTACAATGTGTGAAGCCCATTTCTGGTGTCCCCCGCTGTGATATTACTGGAGGATTGCTAAAAGCGGTGTAAAACCAAACTCACTCACTTCAATTATGAAGACTGTTCTGGTCAAAAAACAGAAAAGTCACCTGTTAGTACAGGACCAACAGGTTGGAAGCAATACGATGAGTCTTGGCAGGTGTTCGGGAAGTTGTAAAACTGTGGGATATTTGAGGAAACTAATTTCTGCCTGATTATATTACTATCATTGTTTCAAATTTTAAATTATGGAAAATGCTGTCTTGTTCTGTTTCTAGTTGGTCAAAAGAGTTATCAGGAACAATACTCTCTAGTCAATACCATGGGATCTTACTCCTAAAATGATATATTTTAAGTGATGGCTTAAGATATAACATAATATTTTAGAATAATTTGTTTCAGAAAAAATACTTGTAATTAATCAGAGCAATAGGCAGACCTGAGTGCTGAGGTTCTTTTTATCTTAATGGTAATTTTACATACACAATATATACTTTCAGTTTTATCAACATCCAGTATCTTTGCCCACAGTATCAGAATACCATGCAGACTTCCCTGCTAACTTGGGCACTCACTTGAGATTTTAGAAGTGAGTGAGTGAATTGGGTTTTACGCCTATTTTAGCAATATTCCAGCAATATCATGGCGGTGGACACACATTGTACCTGGGTCTTCGGCGTGACAAGCAATCACTTTAACCACTATGCTACCCCACTGCACCTTTATGACAAGCCTCTTACGGCATGCAAAGTCTCCTTATACGTGTTACTGGAGGTCATTGTGCCCATGTGGGAATCAAACCCGGGTCCTCATCGTGACAAGAAGGAACCACTGAACTGAACCACTAGGCTACCCCACCTTCCCTGAGATTTTAGGAAACAGGACCTTACAATGTTTTCACAGGTAAAACGTTAAATCATACAACACGCCATAGTAACAGACAACAGACCAGTGTACTGCTTTATGACACTTCTGACAACTACATCAGTCCCAGATGATGCTGGCAAACCACTGATTTATGGTGTGTGGGCATTGAGCCATCAGGTGATAATAATGATTAGTCTGTTAAGCCACAGGAAAAACGTTATCATTATATATTTGTCGGTAACATGAGCGTATAGGATATCATGAGCTGAATCCAGGAGAAACTGCTATTAACCCATTTAATTGATAACAATTCAGATATGTTTAGCCTCACCACGAAGTGTATCAGTAAAAGTGATATCATATTCAATGGGTGCATAATGATCAGAGTGATATATTCTGACAGAAACTGGTTTATGTGCTTTTAGGTAGGAACTCAGATTCTATTTTGCCCTCAATCTCTTTTGGGGCTACTTATCGTCAAACAATTTCCTGCTGCAATATTGATTGATTCCGTGAATCAGAGCTTTGTTGCCACATCCTGTAAATATACGAGTCTGGGGCAACTCTGACAGGGAGTGAGGGAATGAGTGAGTGAGTGAGGTTTTACGTCGCTTTTAGCAATATTCCAGCAACATCATGGTGGGGGACACCAGAAATGGGTTTCACACATTGTACCCATGTGAGGAATCGAACCCATGTCTACGGCATGATGAGTGAATGCTTTAACCACCAGGCTATCAAACCGCCCCTTAACTCTGACAGTAGAGGGTATTAAGTCATAACCCTTCTGGTTACACTGGCATACAAGGAGTCAGTGTGCGAAATAGCCACTGGCTCGCTAGCCCGTGTCTAGTAAAAATCCAGTCGGGCCAGTGACTGTGGAGATCTACTGGCCCGACTGTAACCAGAAGCGTTGTGACTTGCTACCCTCTACTGTCAGAGTTAAGGGGCGGTTTGATAGCCTGGTGGTTAAAGCATTCACTGGCCAGTAAATTTTCATGGGGTCATTTTGAAAATATAACACTCTCACCAATACACTTTTAAATCATGCAAGATTATGGCCTGATAACATGTCCATCATATTGGCAGCTTAATGATGAAACCCGTGTCTACATTCAAATTTCGGGCTAGTGAATTATTGTGTGGGCTGGTAACTTCCAGGCATGGCTAGCCCGACTGGCTAGCAATATTTCGAAACTATTTCGCACACTGCGAGGAGTGAGTGTAAGGTTCCAAGTCCCACTACAAAAGATGTATCATACATTAAGCATGATACTTTCCATGGTTAAAGGCTGCATTTGAACAAAGCGATGATTAACATGCACAAAACTGGCTATTGTGTTGTCATGAAGTGCCATCACTGGGTACATGGCATCAACTTCATAGTTTGATGCTGTCAAACGAGAATACCTCAAAAGTGTTGTTAAAAAGTCCAAATCTTATATAGAACCGACACAACTGATCAGAAATGCTGCAAGTCTATCATCTCACTCACTGCAATTTGATTATTTTGATGCAGGAGAATTTCCTGCTAAAGTTGATTTTTCTCTAAAGAGATTTTTCAAACATTTAGTCTCAGATTAAGTGAAACTGCATTTCTGGAAGTTAATTTTTCAAGTTAACTTTAAACATTACAACTGCTTAATTATGTATGCCATGGTGAATTACCTTCACTTTGTTCTAAGATGGATTAAATGTACTCTTTTTGTAGCAAAACTAAATTCTAAGGCCCATTTAAACAACACTCTAGAAAACAAACCCATTGCTATCTGAAAAATATCTAAGTTTATGATGATGAAGCTGACCATTATTCCATCACTACATCCAGATGCAATCTTTACTGATCAGCGACATTATTGGAGGGGATTGGACTTTTGATAGGACATTCTTCAACTTCATTGACAAATTTGAAAGAAAATTGCAGGATATTTTAGATGACGATCAATCAACGTCCTAGAAATGAACCAAATGAACCAAGCTGACGACAGACCAGCACTTAAAGTACAACAACATTGAGTCAACACAAGGATGCTGTTTGTTCATGTTGATGAGGCTAAGGTGCTGAATGTCAAACTAATCACTGGCACATCTCAGACAACACCACATTGTAATTAAGGACGTGAAATCACACTGGTTGGCCTGTCAGCAAATAATTGTATGCTTTCATGAAAATATCAACACATCATTGTTACGAAAGGAAAACAAAGCGCTTCAAGGAAGACTGTGATCGGCATGACTGGAGTAGTTCAGTGTTTGTTCTAGCATTTTCATCCAAGCTTAATTT